AGAGGGGAGATGATTACAAAACTTTTGAGATAGTTAGTAGTAGTGATAGCAAGAATTATGGTTACGATAAAAATTTTTATTTAATCTTTCAATTTCTCTGTTTAAGTTTCCGTTTATTTCAATAAGACCTTGTCCGACTTGTGCTGCAAGTTCTAGATTTTCTTTTGTTTCTTTTAGTTCTGCTTCTAACTCTCTTAATCTTTGCTGCCTAATTTGGGGAGTAATTCTTATCGCGTTCGTGGGTTTTTTTGCTTTTTTTATTTTAGATGCCGCAAAAAATTGTAAATCTAATTTAAATTGTGGTCCTGACGGGAGGTTCCGCCGGTTCGCGGAGTTGTCCAAAAGAGGGATTGATTCATTCGTCTCCGGATTGTTGTCCGTTATTGAAGAGAAGTTGGCTACCGTCTTGTCGGTTTCGCGGGAGGTTCGTCTCTCTCTCTCTCTCTCTCTCTCTCTCTCTCTCTTTGTCAAACACAAAATTAAGAGACTCTTTTATAATAACAATTTTGCTTTTGAAATTTATAGGCCATTTCTGGCTGGTGTCTCGTCGGCGTTCTCCAAAATCTCGAACTGGAAAGATATGGGGGATTTCCGACCCTACGGCATAAAGCCTTGTCTCATATTTGCTATTTTTTTTGCAAACTAAAATATTTAATTCTTTTATATTTACTGTCATGATAATGAATAAATTATGAAGTATAGATTCTTTAGGAATTTATCTTACTTACACCTATTTTGCTTTTTTCATCACTCTTTTTTTTTACTCTTATTTTCAAGTTGGTTCTTCCCTAATTGATGTTAATTGTCGTTATATATTCCCCCTTTCAAATTGAACCAATTATACTTTTGTTGGAATTAATATGATTAGTTGTCATAATACTTGTTCCTTATCCTTTATATTACGTTTTTTTGCGTTATTAGTTGTATAGTGCTTATGGAGGTTTATATTATTAATAATATAATATTAATTAACTGGGAATGAAGGGAAAATTAAAAAAGGTTGGTGCTTGCTATTTCTACAAGTATTAATAATGCAATTATTATACACTATACAAACTGCGGTGTGGGAAATAGGCATGTAACTCTTAGCAAGGATAAAAAAATTATTAGAAAAATCCCTAACTAAATTGAAAAGCATATTATCGAGAGTGAACTACCCCTACTTATAGAAGTTGGGGCTTCTCGGTTCCTAGACAAGGCTATCACCTAGTCTCCCCGAAGGC